TAATAATATTAAAAACCATTCAACATAAGTATTCAATAATAGACGTCTCATAATGCGCGAAGTGTATTTCAAAGAATCTAGAAAACAAAAACTTTTCGAATATCTAAAATTTATCTTCCAGCGACAAAACAAGCTAGCTCTCTTCTCATGACCATCCATATATGAGAAGCCATCTGTGCGAGCCAGGGTAAACTCTGGATCCGCGCTTGACATGTATTTAATGCTTAAAAAAGGCATATTTACAGTATATTTATTTATAGAAAATAATGTTGCATACTAGCACTATCAGGAATAAATATACAGATAAAGGCTCCCGAGTGGGCATAGACACAAAACCGCTTATAATTATTCAAATAGCACACATCATCTGGCACTTTAGCAGCGTGTGCAAGCGACTCATTCGCTGTAACAGTGAAGCGGCTTTATTAAAAACTATTTTTCTCCTATTTTCTTTTCAATTTTCAGACGGCTTCACGGCCCTCTAAAAATGTTTCGCGGCCAAATTTGGGCCGCGGACCATAGTTTGCGGAACGTCGATCTAGAGGTACTGTTTCCTCAAATTTTCTCACCTCAGCTCCAACCATGGTGGGTCTGAGGTGCTTGTTGACTCACAAAATGTCCTGTGAAAGTCCCTCCCTGGTTCACCTCTCTTTCGAATTCCTGGATCAGGTTGTTGATTTATTATATAATTATTGTTGCACTTATTTATAATACAATTTATATTGCAATTTTCATTTTATCCTCTCAAAACAGTCCTAAGAACGTTCAGATTGCGCTACTTCACAGGGGAATTCGCCCCCGGGACCCCGCCGGGATCATACGTAATTCGCATAACGGCTCCCCCCTTTTAAAATCCTGGCTACGTCCCTGACCCCTCCCATTATCTTGGAATTAAATAGGGTTTAGAAAAGCAGGGAAATGTTTCTAACTATAATAGTTGTGATGTTCCTAAATTATTTCAAATGAAATGTGTTAGTTTGATTGTTCACACTGTTGCATGATCGTCATTTTTGAATCAGCCAATCGTAGAAGTAATTAGTTTGGTGCTATTCCTCTGAGAAATTACTGTAACTACCACGATAACGGTGTGCACTATTCGCCTAACGCGCGTCTGGTCGCCTTTCTGATTACCTCCGTGTTTAGATCGACTCTCTGATGTAATATTAAGAATTAATGCGTAACTAATTTGGATAGGCCTAATGCTTGCATGTAATCTCGATTTCTGGGATGCAAAATACAGTAGTTAACACAACACAAGGCAGATAATTTATATCTTAATTATTTATCGAAAACTATTCATTGTAGGGCCTAAGAGAATTGAAATTTAAAGTAAGGCGAGACGTTTTAATAGCTTGTTTCGTGAACTTATTTTCTTAAAGATCGTCAGATGAGGGAGGAAATAAAATTTTGTTTTGCCAAAAACATCCAGACGGAGGAGAAATAAAATTTTATAGGTAAATGTAACAGTGTAGGGATGGTTAAACGCTTTAAATTGATATAGGCCTTATTATGAAGAAATAAGCCTAAGACTACATATCTTATTGGAGATTTCAACGCAGCGGCGGGCATAACAAAAATGAAGAAAATTTTTATTTTTTTCTTAAATTTCCATTTAACGTAGCGGCGGGTGCCCTAATTGGCTGAAAATAAAAGTTTAGTTTTATTCGAAATCATCATTAATGACGTGCGGTGGGTTCGTTAAACAAGGTATAAAATAAGTCTCTCCTAACTCTTCGACTAATAAATGAAGAATATCTTTGTCATGGAAACCTCCATGTTTATGATTAACCCACCTTCTTTGTTGTGTTACATCCTTATGAACATCTACATATTATGCCTATAGTACCCACAAAAATAGATATTTAAAATAAACGAGCTTCTAGCAAGAGTCATATAGTTATTGTCTGTAGATTTGGTGCAAACTAAAAAAAAATGGATTTAATATAATGTACTGTACGGTATAGGCCTATACTAAGTGGCTAAACTTGTATTGTCATGAAGGATTATACATATTCGTATATAGAATTACGTGACAGCTACAATGTGAGCTGTGTAAAATTTCTTGCTTTTAATTAAACCATTGAGAAAATATATTACGTACTATATTAATATATCTCCTCCATGATTAAACCAATGCGTTCATTAGCCAACGCAGGACGCTAGAAATAAATGGACCGCTGTCTTCCGAAATTACTTCATTAATCTCTGCATTAATTATTTGAATAAACACTATTTTCAAATTACTAAATTACTACAAAAACTGAAAGGTCCACTGAGGAATCTCAGATAAGAAAGTATAATACATACTTCAAGTATTGATTACTACAGTTGAATAACTGCGTTATTTACTATCTATATAAATTATTTTAACAATGGCCTTGGAGGTAAAAAACTCCTCCAATAGAGGGGGTGCTTTATTTTTTCAACTTGACGATCGTCTGTCATTTATTTAATATAGAGTTATAATAATTATTAATTTTTGAAGACTTAGATAACGTCCAATATCACTCTCGTTCATTAAACGTTAATAGCACCTGAACTGAAAATGACAACTAGATTTCCGAGACAATAAGTGTAAAGTATTAGGGCCTGTGTTTGTCTCTTTGTCATGGAAAGCAATGGATAATTAAGGCCTACTATTTGCTATGTTGTAATTGAGACAAACTGTTAGTGTGGTGGTTAAGACACACAGTTAATGCTTCCTTAAATCTTATTTCTTAAAATTTTATAATAATTTATATTTTGTATGTCTATAACTCATTAAATAATGTCATTATGCCGTTAATATTGCCATCATATCGTTTTTGTATTGTTATTATTAATATTATTTTAATATTATTTTTATTAATGCAGTGTTTTTATTATTGGGTGGGCCGAAGAATGAGTTACAGTTGAATTATAATAATAATTTGCAATGACAAAAACATTTCATTTAGGCCTATAGACAAAATCAACAAAAATGTAATTCCCTATATTGTTTCATGATTCGAATGCAATGTTGATGATCAAATATTCTTTTTTTTTAAATATTGAGCTTTAAATTGGATGCAGAAGATAGCAGAGCCTACTGACATTGAAATCAGGGGTAGATTATAATCATATGAAAATATGCCAACACTAAACAAGAAATCTGGTTAATGACCAAAACTGACAAGATTGTATTTATACCAAGACAAGTGCACAATTCCTATACCAATGTCTATTCAAAATATAAATTTGAATGAACTTTTGACTATGTAGTTTTTTGACTACTGTAGTTGTTTTGATACAATACAAAGAATAGTGTCCCTTAATAGGGGTTAATATGTATTGATTTTACCATTTGGCACACTTAGTGTCCCCGTCCCCCTAATAGGAGGTCCCCTCAATAGGGGTTCCCCGTCCCCCTAAAGCTATGTTCACATCAAGCCCGGATTCCGGTCCGGAGTCCAGAGAAAAAAATCGTGAGAAATGGCTTCAGTGGTAAAGAATCACAAGCGTTCACATCAGAACTGACCGGACCCGGTACAGATTTGCTCAGGAGTCTGGATTCGGAGGAATGGCTTTGAAAAGCCATCGGAAAAATGAAATCGTGTCCCGGGGTGGATTAGGCACAACAGTTTCAGAATTAGCTGAGTAGCACATAACATTAATATGCATTGACATTTTAAAAATATAAGTGGCAAAACGGGGAGGGGGAACGTTTCCCCGTGCCCCTACTGGATCCGCCCCTGGTGTCCCCTCAATAGGGGTGTCCCACAGGGAGGTTCTTTTGGTTCAGGACCGTACGGTAATTCAAGGATTTCATTCACAGCAGTAATTGCCACAGGAAGTTAGAGAAAGACTTCTATTTCGAGTGAACAAATCCGTATTCAGGAGTGACACCAGGATTTTCCCGACAGGGGCGGGGGCCGATCCCTGACGGGGCCGAAGTTCCAGACGGGAAGTGGCGTGATCAGCCGTCGCTTACAATTTCTTGAAAGTGTTTCAATTGCTTATTTAGTAAGACTTTAGAGTCTACTAATATGTAGAAAATATACATTTTTTTCTCTCCGATGAATTGTGGTTTTTCTCCCCGACGTGGCACCACCCCTGTCCATATTGGATATTGATTTTTTATGTTGATTACATCACTTCTCACTTCTATGAGACATATTTTTATTATTTTATGATGGATGGGGGCAGAGTGGGGGTGTTGATGGATGATAAGAACCAGGGGTGAGAGGATTGTTAAAAGTTAAATTATAGACGTATTTTTTGTAGGCCTTAAAAATCCCTAAACTTTAAGTACAACATTGAATTACCCGTTCTAGTTATAGACTACTTTTGTGATGCCCAGATCGGACCAATTTAGTTTTCGCTTATTTAGGCCTACATACGTTCACGAAAATTATTAGCCCGTCTATGCAGTAAATAATCTTAGAAACTTTATCATCATGTTGATGTTAAATGGCGATGAATACATTACATTTCCAACTGTGGCGGATTTAACATAAAGGGGCACAGAGAGGGACTTTCCCGGATAGATGAGGGTCTAAACAATATGATCATGACACCTCTAGAGGCCGGAAATGGCACATTCAGACTCAAAATTTGAGTAGAATTTTCTTTTTTCCTCATTGATTTTTTTTTTTATTTTGAAAAATTTAGGGGGAGGGGCTGCCGGGCAGGCTGGGCCCCCATGAATCCGCCACTGATTAATAATTTTCAATTGAGTCCTATAAAGTAAGCGCAATTTTCAAATATTTATCAATTTTATATTCTGTTTTATACACAGGCATTATATTATTAGCTGACAGTTCATCCTTTTCAACTCAATTCTTTTTCACATGATAATGTTAAATAAGAAGTATAAATTTTAATGGTAACGTTGGTGGCGCTATGTAATGTACTAAATATTCATCATCAAATCGATGAAGCTGACCAATCACCAAACTTAATTCTGACGGAAAATCCCGCCTACTCATTGCAGAATCTACAGCCAATTCGTAAAACACCCCTTATATAACATCCAATATAAATACCATGTGCTTGATTGTTAATTACTTTTTCATTTGTTTGTAGAAATAAGTATTAGGAAGATGCTGACTTAATTTCATGTGTCTCATAATTATGGTTATCGAGAATTTTCGATACAAATTTGCCCTACCTCACAATTTCCTACGGAGACCCGAGCGCGCGCTCCAGTCTTGCATATTAAATCTCTGACTGATTTTCAAGAATCGTTCTTCGAAATCGACACGCAACGAACTGTGGCAGGTAGTATTTGTTTATTTTTATAATAAAATTCTCATATTTTTTCTTAAATCTGTGTTGGGCCAGGGTCATGGATACTTTAAGCTGAAGGGGACTTGGTAATTAGTATAATTTCATCAAACTTTGTTGTAAAATTGATCTTTCAACACAACAACCAGTGAGTGGTATCTTGTTCATTGTTCACGTACACCACACATCAACCGGGTTGTGTCCTTTATTTCACACAGCGATGCCGCTGCTACGAAGAAAAGAGTTTATTCCGGAGAAGCCTCCTGTCGATTTAGATCCCGACGAGGAAGTATTTTGGTGCCCATTAACGAATGAAATATTTAGAGAATACGAGTAAGTATCACGTTTTATACAAGACAACAACTTGTTAAATGTTGTTAGTTTGTTGACTTGGTATTATTCATGACACAACCAATCATAAATGACCCCTTCGAAGTGCGCCATTTTTCGTTTGCTGTAAACCACAAAGTCTATTGAAGTGAACTAAAGACAAGTATTTCTATCTCATTTCCTTTGTGTAGTGAGTTTTTTCAGAGAACAATCCTGTGCAACAGTTTAGTATGGTCGTGCGGGCTCACAGGAAGGCCAAATTTAACGTATCAAGAAGCAGTAGAGAGTGAGGAAAAGGCTAAAAAACACCTTGCAAGTTTCCCAAGCTACCTCGAAGCACCGATACTATTCATTGCTTCACTAACTCGTCGAGGTCGGTTAGTCGATATGTGTGATGATGTGTTTGTGTTTAGCCGTGACCGCTTCTACGTTGGTGAAATTGTAGAGGTGAAGAAAGGAAGCACATGGTAAGATATATGTTATGTGCATCAAGAATATTAACATTAAATTTTAAACACATTGATTGCAAACTTTTACATTTGAGGTATCTTTTGACAAATTCCCTTTTTGACTCTTGAGCCTTCCATTCATTTTCATTTTCCTTCGTTCCTACCTAACTTCCATCCTTCCCCTTCTTTCCATCTTTCACTTTTTATCTGTGTTCATTTCACTGTTTCTATACATCTTCATTTCAAACTTTCATGTCTATCCCTTATATCATACATCTATCTTTTATTTCATCATTTCCTTATTAAATGTCCATTCCACCATCCCTATACATACATTTACATCTCCTTAATTTATGCTGCAATCATTCACTAAACACCTGGATACCTTTGCATCTATCTCAACCAACAAGTACATCATACTTTCATTTACATCCATACTAATTTTCTACAGTTCAGCGCATGTAAAGCCAAAGGAGCTAAGCTGCTCTCAACACCTATTTAGACATTGGTATGCATCTGTAAATTTTACCAACTACTATTGTACTTTTGCTGCTATTCATGCCCTGTGATGTTTGAAATTTACGTCTTAACTTCAAGATGTTAAGTGCATAGAGGCACTGTGCAATATGCGCTATATAAATGTAATTTATTATTATTAACAATTTTTGTCTTTGTTTTAGTGAAACATGCCGTATAGTTGAAGTTATTGCACCAAGTGCTAATGGAGCATCTAAGGAAAATGTTGTAATTGACCTGACCGAGGACGATGATGAGGATGATGTAGTGGTGATCGAAGACGATTCACAAGACAAATTAAGGTACGAAAACATGCACTGAAAGGAAGAATCTCAGGAAGACCTCTTACATTTTTATCAAAAATAAAAATATTAATATAATAATAATAATGGTAGACTTATATAGAGCATTATGATCCTCTATGTACTTCACATTAGCATTACCCCGGTCATTGGATTAAACTCCTATGGAACACCAACTCAGCTCCTCGGGGCAGTAGTATTCCATGACGTTACTGCAGCTAATCAGTGCATTTTAACCCTACCAGGTACCCCCTTATACTCCTGAGTGGAGAGAAGCAATGCAGATAAAGTGCCTTTGCTCAATCAGGCCTCGAATTCGGGGATTTTATGGGCAAGGCCAAATGGCCTCCGGTATGACATGATTTTGAAAGGCACCCAAGGCAAAATTTGATTTAGCCTCAGTACTAATTTCTCGCGAGTGCCTTGATTCGTCGTAGCCAGGATAGGCCTAGCCAAGCCATAGTTGTCAATGTAATATCACTCTGTTTAGAGTATTAACTATTAATTATCGATTCAATGTTGGAATATACTGCGGTGTTCGGCGATCGTACAAAACAGTCAAATTTCAAGAAGTTCGATATCTTTGCGTTGTTGCTCAGTCTGTCATCATCGGAGAGGAAGCCACAACTCTAAACTGGCCGGGAAAGCTGCGATGACATAAGATTAGCTGTGCAGCAAGCACATGTTTACAACTATACAAAGGCCGTATTCGACTGGCCGTTCTTCGTTAAATCACGCCAACCTGCGCAGCGGTAATAACATCCTACTCAACGAAGACGACCAGTCGAATAGAAAACTTGTAAATACTCGACAAAACTAAATGGCTGTATAGTTACCGCGATACACGTTGCGTAATCAAGACTGCTTTAACTTGTGGTAGTATGGGTTTTTCGTTAAAAAAAAATATTTTCCTCCAGTTATTTTCATTCTGTTTGCCTACAATAATTTTTTGACTCCATGTGGGTAAATATTATAATGTTTATTTTATGAAATTTAATCTAAGTTATATTAACGCAAATGTTGTTAATAAAAAAATTACCAATCGGCCATGTTTCTCTTTGGTCACATGGATAACTTAACGCTGATTAACGCACTCTGGTTTACGTTAATTTTCGTTGTCAACAAAGTCTATTTAACGAACCAGTCAAATGAAAATAATACTCAATGAAAATTCGTTCCAATGAAATGAACCAGTCGAATGAGCCCATGTTAATATTGCAATAACTGCTAGAGTAAGACGCATGCGCACACAACGGTAACCGCAAAAACAGTTTATCAACACACATGGAAATTCTAGGCTAGCTTAGGTGACCTATGTTTTTGACATTCGTGTTTTCTTTCAAGATTTAAACGTTCTTACTTAGATGTATTTTACGTGTCAAACGTGAGGGCACTGAGGCTAAGGCTTCAAAAGGGCAGGCAAGTAGTCACCCGTCGTCGTGCTTCATTTTCAGGGGCACCAAGGCGAACTGGGAGGGCACCGTCGGCAATGGCCGCGGTAAAATTCAAGGCCTGCTCAATCACATAAGCGAAATGCACAGCAAGGGATTGAACCCATCCTCAAGGTTGAGTAAAAACAAACCGTTCCTGCTGTGCCAAACCACTTCTACAAATAACATAAAATATGATGCAAGCACATAGGACTGTAACTCTATGTTATATTCAGTTAGTAACTGTTGTCACTATATTGCATACCTGCACAAATAATATGTTGTCTTTATTTTGCTTTTGTAGTTTAAAGCCAAAAGCACAAAAAAGAGAAATACTTGACCCCAAGGTGTATGTGTACAGTGTTGTTCCAACTAAAGGAAATTTAGTCCAGTTTGATGTCAAATGCAGTCATATAAGGTAAGAACGAGGTCTTAGTTACAACTTGCTTAAAAGTACTTATGTTTGTACCCAGGATATATTCAGTTTATCTTAATCTAGCTATACAGTGATATTTCATTATTTTCTCACATCCATCCCTCACTTTATGTTCATTCCACTATCCCCATACATCCATTTCTCGCATTCCTACTTTATCCCCATTCTATCATTTATATGCAATACATACATCTGTCCATTACATCCATCTCTCACTTTATGTCCATTACACCAATACCTATACATCCATTCGTCCCGTAAATCAGTTCATTATTTATGCTCATTCCATTATTCCTAAACATTCACTCCTTCCTTTACATCTCTCAAGGTGTATACAAGACAACCTCCAATTCAAGACCACTTTTCTGTGGTCCCAAATTAACAAATGTCTTTTATCTACATTATTCTAATTAGCTGCTAAAGACCATGGAAATGCTGGTCCCAAAGTTGGTCTTTAACCTGAGAGAGACCTGTATTCTACTTTATCGGATCATCTATTCATTGATTTTACATTATGTTCTTTTACTAGTCGTCGGAAAGGTCTTTATACCAGAGACAAGAATAAACTCTATCTGAGACAGCATTGTGAGATCACTGCCTCCCACTGGACTGTAAAGGTATGTCATATGTAATAGTTGGAGATGCAATTTGGTTGTCAGGGTGCATTCCTTTCAATCCCAAGTTCTTTGGTTCAATCCTGGAGTTGGGATGCCCAGAAAAGCAAGGGATTTCTCATAACTGAGAAAAAGACAAATCATCTTCAATGCTCAACGTTAAACAGATTCAAGAAATTTAATCTGTTCTTTGTTAATACACATGCTCCAAACAGAGACTGTGTATTTAACAAGAGGTCGGACAATACTAATATAAAACTGAAGCAATTCATTACAAAAAGCCGGCTCTACGCATTTGTCTAAGAAAAAATAATCATTTTATTTGCTCCTTTAAACATTTTGTCAACTTGAGCATTCCAAGAGAGGTCATTAGAAATGGTAACCTAATAATTTTGTTTGTTGAACACATTCGATCAACTTGTCATTTAATAACAATGGGTCGAAACGGTTTTATTCTTTTTACAACTGATATGCATTTCAAACGTTTCTTTTACATTAACAACCATAAGATTATCTTCTGCCCATATATTTGCAGAATGAGCAAGTGACTGGAGTTCACTTCCCCCATCCCTACCAATGCGCTCCACAATGTTTAAAGGATAGGCTTTCAGTAAAAAATAAAAAAAATGTTTTCCTCACTTATTATTAGTTCCTTTGTGACCTTAGGTCACAGTGGAACTATTGGGATGATACAGATGTGAAATGTGTGTGTGAGATGTTGGTATGTTTGTAAACAAATGGGCTCCTAAACGGTGCTACACGGCTGGTATACAGTGTGTCCCATAGTTATTGGTGGACATGTAAATTGTGCAAGAAATGTTTGTTTTTTCGGTTATATAAAAAATGTAAGCCGTGCACAATAAAACATATACCACCATTATTTTTGAGTCATTTTTTAGGGCAAATTACCTTCATGTTCAAAATACTTACAAGTTTATTATGTATATTAAACCACATTGAAATCACTATGTTTTCAGTGTCGTATTTGCTATTCAAATATAAGTATGAATTAAATGTAATAGCCCCCAAAAGTAGTACAAAAATCCATACACGTTGGCAGTTCTGTCTTTCGTGACGCTAGGCCTAGGCTGTATGGTCCAATCAGAGAGAAAGTAATGGGCCTGGCCTAGCCAGGATTGTGGTTAAGTTGTTGATAATAAGGCCAAAAAAAATATACTTGTTTAGCGTCATTACCCAACCCTGGTTTTTGGCCCGCTTCTGATTTTTTATATGCCAAAAAACATCTAATTCAACCCGGAAATGCTGAAAAAATGACCGAAAATAATCGGTTTTCGTATTTTTTTTTTTTTAATTCATAAAGCACGCTGACATTTTTTTTCTTAAAATTTCCTTTTTAGTACTTTATACCATGCGTATGTGTAAATTTGGCATATGAAGGAAAGTAGTAGAAACTACCCCACCGCTTACCAGGTAGAATTGACCAATAAAATGTTGTTACTACTTAAGAGGTATAGTAATACCTACTACCTAATATCAATGGTAATTATACTTTTTGCCTTGCAACTTGTTTCTCTAATATTTTTTATTGGTTTCTTCAGCCGAAGTACATGCAGAAGTTTAAATTACATGAAAGGCAATTTAGTTCGTTCTTCTCTGGACCACTACCAGATTTTAAGTTCACAATGGCCAAGAAGGCTCCGGCAGGAAGCAAGAATGTTAGCGGGAATAATTCAGTGAGCAAGAAGAAATCATTAAGTCCAAAACCAGCTAAGAAGACCCCAGAAGGTAAAGCAATCTTTGCCTCTAAATGTTTTTTAGTGAATCCCAAATAAAATTTATTAATACTACTTTAAATTATTAATAAAGATAATTCTGTTTTTCTATACCATGGAATTGGTCATAATATCCATCATGGTAATAATTTCAATTTTTTTTTTTTTTTTTTTTTTTTCAGTAACTGTCTCGTATACACATTTTTTTTTTTTTTTTTGATAGGATTTATATAGCGCACATATCTAGAAACTGCTCAAAGCGCTTTTTTCCCCTAGTCATTGGGTACAGAATCAATCGTACACAATTTGCAACCTCCACTCCCTAATAATCAGCACTACTACTTTCATTCTGAATCCTTTGCCTTCTACCAGGTACCCATTTTTACTCCTGGGTGAAGAGAGGCAAATGCAGATAAAGTGTCTTGCCCAAGGGCACAAGCAGTGTTTCGAGCATCGGTCTCGAACCCCGACCTTTTGATTAAAAGTCCAAAGTCTTACACGCTGTGCCACATGCTTCTACAATGAAAAAGATAGGTTAAAAGAATTAAGTTTTCGCTAAATTACCAAGTTTTTACTATAAAAGTTCACTGCCAGTGAATCTATTGCTTTACTTGAAAAAATATAGGAACAATATGAACCTTTCAGCTAAGCCCTGTACCTTAGATATTGTTGCTGAGTCCAACTATAATGTAAGTGTGAAAGCATGCACACACATGCATTTGTGGGACATGCGCAAATTTCTGACATTGTCCTGATTGGTCAGTTGTATAATTTTTATTGACATGCCAGAAAGCGCCATTATTTATGCTTTTTATCTTGTTCTACTTTTAAAAAGGTAAAAGAAAAAAGAAAAGCAAAAAAGAGAAACCAATTGAAACACCACCCGAAAAGAAGGTAAATTTAACAGCAGAAGAAAGAGCAGCATTGAAAGAGAAGATGAGGATTGACAAAATGAAGATGAAAGAACAGCAACTAGCAATTAAATCAGCAATGAGAGAAGCCATCAAGAAACAGAGAGCTGAAGAAAAAGCAGTGAAGAAAGAAGAAATGAAGAAGGTATTAGAAGAAACGAGAGAAAAGAAGAAAATAGAACGAGAAAGAGTAAGTAGATTTTGTATGATAAATAAAAATAAAATAAAAAAATATATAAAATAAAATAAAATGTCTTATTGTGCCTAAGCTAGCTGCCTGAACAATCATAAGCTCACTGTCAAGGATATTGGCTCACTGTGAGACATCATGGGTGACATACCAAGCATCAAAATGGCTTGCATCATGGGTGACTTGTCATCGCCCAACAGTGACAATTTATGTTTCAGTGTTCAAAACATGTATGCACTTGTTTACAAATACACATTAGTAATTCAGTTGCCACCAATATATTTACTATTTTATAGGAACGTGAGCAGAAGAAAGAAGAGAGACGACAGAGGGAGGAGATCTTTAAGGAATGGAGCAGGCCAAGGGATGATTTAGAATTAGATGATCTAAAGGTAACATACCAAAGTGAATTTGTAGGTTGATGGCAGTAAAATAGCAAGTACTTAATCCTAATGATATGGTTTCTTGTCATTTTAAGGAGCTACCCCAGCCTGTAGCTGTTAAAAGTCAAATTCCTGATCATCTGTTTGGAGATGTTTTAATGCTGCTAGAATTTTTGTATGTATTTAGTGAGGAGCTTGCTGTCACTGAAGAATACCCAGATGGTGTCAATTTACGTAAGCTATTGATCGACTTGGCATCCATGTTAAAAGCTATTTTCTGATTGGTTACATTTAATTTACAAAACAATAAATTTATATAATTATATACATTATCCAAGTATACCATATATCACTAACATTTGTAAGCTACAGTTGTTTTCACTGAAGCCCTGTCCAGACGACTATCAAATGTTATTTGACAAAAAATGTTGTATGCCCATATATAGTCAAGATGTGCCTATATATGGTCACATGTGATGTCATCATGACCATATTTATTCATGTCACATGCTTGGACAGGGCTTAATACTATGCAAAACATAATGGCAGCAGATACATTGATCAGTAAACTCAGAGACCATCTATTAATTTCTGTTTAATGCACAGATCAGTAATGTGCACTGGTCCAACATCTTAATGTTTAAGCCGGAGGATGATGCAGTGTTAAATAACTTGCCCAAAGATGCAAATTTAGATATGCACTGGCATGTTTTTCTAACGGTGCTCCCTAAACCCATTCATTTACTACTGGGCCAGCCACACACTTTCATCCCTGGACATTGAGTAATGGTATTGCAATATTTTACGCTTTTTGTTGAATAGACATGTTAGAACAGGCTGTATTGGATAAAGCTGTTGATGGTGCATTGTATGATCTTGTCAAATTTTTACTGAGGGCTATCTTCAAGATGCAGGAAGATGAAGAGGAGGATGAGAAGATTGATCTGAAGGAGCAAGGAATGGAGGCACCATCAGCCGACTTGGCTGAGAGTCTAGATGACGATGTTGACCCTACTTACGCAGAACTAACTGCTGCCAGCACGGCTGCACAGTCTTGGCCTCTCATACATCATGGTAATGACAATCATTATTATGTTTTTGCATTTTCATCTAAGCAGTGTTATATTCAGGGGACATGGGTGCATTCCACACTGGAAACTTGATTATTAAGAATTAAAATCATCTTATTGCCTTCGCTAGTACCCCATAACTTTCCCATCCTGCTCCTGTCTGCCCACCCCATGTCAATACTCCAAGATTCTTAACTGCTTTATAAACTTAGACTTGGTGTATTGTATAACGACTTTCAATCAGGTTTACGGTTAAATCCCGGCAAAAATGAAAGGATTAATGTCAACGAAGAACTCCACTCTCCAACCTATATTAGATGCTCTGGCATTACAAGCAATGGGCAGTGATTTCAGTCAACATCATTATTTAATGTTTATTATGTTAACATAACATTTACATATTGTTATTATTATGTAATTTCAGGTGCCACACTCAGGATGTTGCCAATAGAACCAACGACTTGTTCTGAAGTGCTTCGACTTCACCTGTTGGTATCAGGGGCAAGAACTCGACCTGCCAACCTCAAGTGGAGGTACCAGCAGCGTGGAGGATATATACCACATGATGACCCCGGCTTAGAGTTCAGAATGCAGGAACCAGGAATTCTGAGAACACTAACTCATGGAAATTTATATGATCTTAATCCAGGTATGTGGTACTGCAGTGTACAGATGGTGCATAATAAATTGTTTATTTTTTTATTATTATTTCATGCCTCCATTCAAAATTACTGTTAATTGTTAAATGTATGAATTATTGAAATATTTATATTACATTTAATTCTTATCCATAGAAAGTATAATTTACATATAAATTCTTTTATTAGAGGAAAAGCTGAAAATTTTGACAACACTCTGCCACCAGCTGATTACGTATGTGACCATTAGAGATATCATTGAGGAGAGCTATGAGACGTGGCAGGAGAAACGAAAAGAATGGAAAGAAATGCAGCGTCTTGAGAAGAAACGTGAGCAGGAAGTTTCCTCCCTCAGGTACCATTTGACCATTGTTTGTTAATTTTTTGTACAGTAGTAATTCAACATATAGTATATTAAGTCTACATATTGATATCCTCTAGCCCTCAAAGACTTGGGGAAGTTGTATCCTTATAGGAAGTTGCACACCAGATAAGCTAAAAGTCTATTGGGACATTTTAAATAAAAACCTTTTAAAAACTATGTGGTATAATGTAGTTAGTGCTCTGAGTTGGTTTGGAAACAATTTCTTGATTGCTGGCAATTATAATATATGATTTATTCCAAATGTATTTCATCTATTCAGTTCTGAATTACTATTTACATACTTTTTCTCATTAAAATTCTTGTAGATTTCGCAAAAGACAAGAAGCCAGAGTCATGCTTAGGGAGAAGCAGAAGTTGTTGCGGGAACAGAAACAGTTGACTCAGATTAACACATTGAAACAAGACGAGAAGCATCAGAGTGGGGCTGAAGACGACAGTGAAGATGAAGACCAACCATTAGCAAGTCTCAAACTGCAGAAGGACAAGTCAGTAGAGGAAACTCCAGATTTAGATAATAGTTTAGAGCCAGAAATTACTGCAATTAAAGAAGAATTAGAAGTACAAAGAAAACAAGAGGATGAAGAAGATACATTGAAAAAAGAGGAATTTATTCAAAAAGACAAAAATTTAAGGGATGAAGTGTTTACACACTCTACCAAGTACAGTGTCAGTCCGATTGGCCTTGATCGTGTGTTTCGTCGCTTTTGGGTCTTCCGTTCCATCTCGGGAATATTTGTTGAAACAGAAAATTTGAATCTTTTAGACTTGCAACCAGTAGAGCGAAGTCCAAAGGGCAACCCTTTTCAGGAGAGTACCCTAAATGAATTGGAATCTGAAGACAAGGATATGGATACTCTTGAACATGATAATTCTACCGCCAGTGACAAAGAGAACATTGAATTAAATGGACATGCAAATATAAATGAAACCGAAGAAACACAAAATGATGTTGATTCAAAGGAACTAATTATGAATGGGATTGTGGAGGATGTTAAAAAACCTGTAACCCAAGACATCTCTGTGACAAAGATGTCACAGTCATGCTGGTCGTTTTACAGCCAGCAGGAAGAAATCCATGCACTCATAGAATCATTAAACCCTCGTGGTTATAGAGAAGGAACTTTGAGACGATCTCTCCAACGAGAGATGGGTCACATTGTTGATAGATTAAAAGATTTCCCAATGACCGAGGTCATGAGCTCGAACTCTGATAATATGGAGACAAGTTACGAGGAACAAAAGGGACCAAAGATGCAGCAGGTAGTTGTTAAGCTTGCAGGTGGGAAGAAAGGGTTGATGTCTGTCAATGCTGATGGTGCAGAATCGTTGGAACTTGGCCTACGAGAGCAGTTATTGGAGCTTGAGGATAGGATATGGCAAGGAGGCCTAGGCTATTGTAGGGTAAGTCATCATGCTTTTTTTGGTCAGTTATAATTTTTTACTATTTCATTCAGCGCACTGACATACTTACAGCACAGAAACCTTATAAATTAGACAATCTTGCCCCTTAAGTGTCTAATCCATCTATAAGTAAAAGATATGGTAACTGTAACTAGGTGTCTCTTATCCAATTTTACTATTTCAATGTTTATCTTCAGGTGGAAAATAGACAGGTATGGGCAGACAGTATAAGTCATGGCTCGTACGATAAACAATGCAAAGAGATCTCATGGGGTCCAGATTGGAGTAAATCTAAACTTGATATCGATTTTCTAAACATGTCATCCGCTGACTTATCGTTCCCTGAGGAAAAGAAAAACACTGCAAATAAATGCAAAGATAGGTATGTAGTTATTATGTAATGGTTGTTTTAGTACTGCCAAAACAATTCTCATAAACCCTGCCCTTCCCATTGGATGCTGTAAAGGTCCCACACAATGACAATGTAACCAAATGTTAACATGCAATAGCGTTTGGAAGAACTACTGTATTACACATTCTTTATCTGTTCTAATAGTCAACATTTCAAAATTATCCTAGAGAAGCTTAAAATTTGCTGTTGTACCCAATTTCTTCCCCGTCTCCATTTGATTTGAAAATTCTGGTCGAGTATCAAATAACCATACAAGTATATCTCCTGACTTTCTCTTTAGAGTAACCGAGTTGAAACAAGCTGAAGGCACCCCAGTAAATGGTGAAAGTACTCCAGCTGCCTGCTCTACCAGGTGCAGTACACCTGTGATCTTTGACAATGACCAGGTGGTCCGAGATCTTGCTTGCGCACTCCTTCAAATCTCCCAGGGTGTTGAACCGAAGTACCTGATGCAGCCACTAGGCAAGTATATATATTGTAAATTGTCCTCATCCAAGACATTTCGTATTTTTTGGAAGTAAAATGTTTCATTAAATTGTGTGTAGACTGTATTATGTATTTTGTAAGCATGACAAAATGACTACAGTATTTGTAACAAGGAATTACAAGGATTCGTCTCCATAAAGCCAGCTTATGTAAATCAAAGTTGTTCTTGAATTCTTTACCAGCATCAGGGATGTAGTTATGACGGCTGGAGATGGGTGGGATCGTGAATATTTCCACCCAGTTTAACCTAATTCCATGGCTACCAACCATTATTCACCCCTTTCCTTAAAATCCATTCATATTATTTAGAGTTTACCAATATGATCACCCACTCATAAAATGTGTCACCCATCTTAGATTTCTAAACCTACAACCCTGCTGGATAATATTCTAATTGCTTGTTGTAAAGCATTAGAATACAAATCTCATGTTAATTGCTTTTTTTCAATATATAACCCCTTAAATTGGCTTACTAAAACTTGTTTGTGGTGGATAATGGTTAATTCATATCAATATTTCAGGTTTTACTGAACCGCCCTCTAGAGGAGGATATTCAGCAACAAGAAGAGCTAAGAAACTTCAAGAAGAGAGAGAGCAACAGAGGAAAGAACAAGAGGAGGATGGTAAGTGTGGGGGAAGTATTAAAACATCATAAAATGTTTTGTTTACAATTATGGTAAACCTTACAGGAATTTGGTTGTCTAAGAACATGTCAGTAAATAATAGTTGCAAAATTAAGACATCTAACCTGGAGAAGAGGAGGTATCACATAGTGCATGTTTTTTCATGTATCTGTCTATTTATGTTGATTATTTTTTGTTGATAGATGACAAGCCAAAGAAGACTACTAGGGAATGTTGGGAAGAGTCCCTCATGCTTTCCACAAGCTTCTCGCAGGTTTTCTTGCACATGTCGACTCTAGAGCGTTCGATCATCTGGTCCAAGTCTATCCTGAACACTCGTTGCCGAATCTGTAGGCGCAAAGGCAACGCGGAACAAATGTTGCTGTGTGATGGCTGCGATAGGGGACATCACATGTACTGCTTGAAACCGCCACTTAAGGTAATGCCAGTTTTGATACAGTGCATGATGCCAAGCAAGGCTTCTAAATAGTGGTATATCTAGGGGGTGTGTACGGGTGCCTTCTCCCAAAAAAATCGCGCTCACTTTCTTTTGCGACCTAGCGTCCCCTCAAGTAATCATCGAGCCCACTTCACGCCCCCAATCAGATTTCCCCTTCCCCTTATCAAGACTTCTAGATACGCCTCTGCCTCTCAGGAACGCTCAGCTTCCTGGGGATAATTCCATTATATTGCAGCTAGTAATTAGCACAATGGCATATTATGGTCATACTAGGTATCAACTTACTGTATATTCTTGGGTGGAGAGAGAGTGCTGAGGTGAAGCCCCTTATCCAAGGACAAAATGACATGCGCAGCAAGGGTTTCAAACCTCAGAACTCAAGGTTAAGAGCCTGAATCACACCCAAACACATTCTCAACTTTGCTCTTAATATAAAAATTGTGGTCTCTATATGATTATTTTAAATTGAAGGTAGAAAAATAATTTTATCAGATATAGGATGTCAGGGGCAATATACTGTAGACTTACAGTATTTAGCCTCAATATATGATATAGGTATTTGAACATATTCATTAAGAATAGTTTTACCTACAAACACATCTTAAATTCTTGACACTGCTTTGTTTTTCTAATTATAGAATGTACCAAAAGGTGACTGGTACTGTAAAGATTGCATTCCAAAAGAAGTTCTAAGAAGCCCACGAAGACGCAGATCTACTGTAGAAAGTAGGTCAGAAAAGGAAATGGAGGAGAGCGAAGAAGAGGAGGAGGAGGAGGAAGAAGAGGAGGATAGTGATGATGGGGAGGAAGAAGAGAGTGAGGAGGAAAGTGAAGAGGAGGAAGAAGATGATGAGGAAGAAGAGAGTGAGGAGGAGGAAGAAGAGGAGGAGAAGGAACAGGAAGAGGCAACAACTGCTGAAGTAGTTGCAGAAGACAGGTATGTACAGAAATGGAGCAATGCACCTGCGACATCATCATAAATCTAGTTGAGTGTGTCTACGTTATGTATGTGCATGAGATTTGTAATTCAGGTCTCACCACAAATAGCATATTATGTAACTGGGCTAAATCAGTTCTCAAATTACATAAAATTGGTAACCTCTTTAAATTTAAAATTCTGGTTGTATACCCTAGTGATGGATGGAATATTGAAAATAGAATTGTATCATATTTGATTATGATAATTTTATGATTGTTTACTACTGTATTGTATTTAAACAAGCTGTTGTTTATTCGTTTTGTTATTGTTACTATGTGTGCTTATGGTTGTTTATAGTGTAGATGTTTCATACGTGGTTATACATGCCAGTTTACTCCTACGAGAATATGGAACCTTCTAAAAATGTATTCACTGTAAAAATGCTGTTGATTTTCTATTGTTATCTCTGCTTCATCTTGTACTCTTTCAGTGACAGTGAAATCATCTTCAAAGAGGATGGTTGGCATGATGCCGTCTGTCGTGACTGCGGGCACGGGGGAAAGCTAATTTATTGTGATAACTGCCCGTCAGCCTACCATTCCGAATGCCTTGATATGGCGTCCGATTCAGTGACGGCCGAATGGGTTTGCTCCGAATGCCTAGCCAATGGGTAAAGCTTAAATTTTCGATATTGCATGCTCTGCACGATGTATCCACGTAGTATTGCAGCGATGTGATCTAATAAATGATCATCCATCGTTCTGCATACAATATGAACTGGCGTATAATCAACAGTAACTTGTGTATATCCATGTAAATGGATTAATTTCCTATGTTCCTGTAAAAATCCTACCTTTGTTTTGTATACTCACTTCCACTTTTGAATGTTAACACTGAACTGGTATATTAACTTTGGTAAATTTGACTTTGTAAGACTTATTATAGTGTTAACCTTATCATCATCTCTATTTCACACCATATAGTTCTCTCTTATTCCAATACGGATTCCTATCTCCCATTCCTACTCAATTCCACCTTCCATTCCCACACATATTCCTTTCTGTCCCACCCTACTATTTTTCTTTCATTGCACAGATTGCAATCTATTATTCCTGATGAATTTCTTCGGTATCATTCCTTCATTCACTATTTCCCTTCTCTTTTTCCCACACCGATTCCGTTCTTTCCCATGCTACTTAACCTCTTCCATTTCCACACTCTTTCATTGCACAGATTTCAACCTATCATTCCTGATTAATTTCTTCAGTATCATTCCTTCACTGTTTCCCTTCTCATTCCCATTACCCATTCCAATACTGTTTCTTATCTCGTTCCACAGAGATTCCAATTTCCCATTCACATTATATTACTTGTGTCATTAAATTCATCAAGGTAATTTCTGCCATTTCCATAAAGAATAATGAATGTAAAAACATCAACTACTTCCCAAATAACTCCTACCAAATGTAGACTCCCTAACATGGGATAATTTTTTAATTCTAGTGATGAAGTGTCAGATCACGAAGATCTTTGTAGTAGCTGTCATCATGGAGGTGAATTGATTTGCTGTGACAGTTGTCCATTAGCATTCCACCTTGAGTGCTTAGACCCGCCATTGAGCAAGGTTCCAAAGGGAGACTGGAATTGTTCGGAGTGCCGAGGAAAACAGAAAAAAACACCACAACCGCAACCTAAAGGGAAAGCACAGTCTAAAGGTGAGTTTGTGAAATGGTTGTTTATTAATGGACCTTTCCACTAAGCCCCGCTTAAATATACGCAGGTGTGTGTGAAACAACACATGAGCTTGTTAGACATGCACATATTCCTGTCCCTCTTCTGATTGGTCAGTTGTTTAAAAACGTAATGTAACACCGCCGGGCAATTTAAGACCGTGCTGCTAGTTTCTGCTGCCTATATCGTTTTACTCCCAGATATATCTCTGACTTACTAAACATCAAAGATAGAAGGCAAGACCTAAGATCTAGCCAACAAGTGCTCGTAGACATCCTAATGAGCAAACATAGCTGGGGAGATCAGGCCCGGGATTTATCAATTTCATCTTAGCAAATGACTTAAGTTAAAAAAGTTAAGATGTCCCTATGCAAATATCTTAAGCTGATCTTCCTAATTTTAAGCTAAACAATATTGATAAAATCTGACTTAAGCAAGAAAATGGATTTAAGACAAAGTTAAGCTGATTTCTAGCTTGATAAATCTGGCCCCAGCAGGCTTTCAGCACTGCCGGGAGTAAACTTCCTTTGAGCATTAAACATTCACCTTCACTACTCAAGACAAACCTTTTTTTATTATTGCTTTTTTGAATGGCACCACAAGCAACAACTGTTGGATTGGTACCATATACATTAAACGGTTCCTTGATTGATTGATTGATCGATCGATTGATTGATACGTTTTTAACTGAATTGTTTTTAGGTAAAAGCAAACCAAAGGCATTCAATTTACGTGTACTGAGCCAAGTGGAGGCTGGTAGTGACTCTGACAGCAGTTTCTCGCACAGTTCTCGTAGTGCCCGTGCTGCTGCAAGATTACGCCGTCGCGAATCTACCGGCTCTGAAAAATCTGCAGACGAAGAAACTCCACAGCCAAGCAGACGAACACCGAGAAATCTATCCAAAAAATTGTCCTCTGCCACAGCAGATTCCAGTGATGACGAGACACCGGCAAGAACATCACGGAACACAAGAGGGAGTAAACGATCCAGTTTGGTTGAATCAGAATCAGATCTATCATTCACTGGCAACTCCAGGAGGAATTCAAGGCAAGGAAGTGCTCAAAAACGTAAGCAGACGTCACAGACATCGCCTGAGAAACCAGAAAAGTCGAGGAAGACAAATGATAAAGGAAAGAATGTAAAGAAAATTGATAGGAATAAAAAACTGATGAATGGAGGTGGATCCAGTGCTGATGGTGAGTCATTTCTACTGTATTTTTTTTTTTTTTTTAGTTTTGTAAATATTTATCTTAGATACAGATTTCATTCAAATCAAGTGGCCGAGGGGTGAGGCAGGGGCGCTGTAACAACAGCTAACTACATTGGCACTGGTTTGATCCGCTTCTAACCCAGGGCTAGGTTGGTAGAACCAAGTCTTCTCGGATAAGGAC